TTATTTATTTACCTTTTTTTGTCAATTAGAATTATTTGGTTTTTACTTAAAAAAAAAAAAAAAAAAACACCTTTTCAAAGCAAGTCAGAGTAGTTTGCCAAAACTGAATATTACCTCTTACTGACTTAATTATTCTTTCAATTTCTTGTATGTCTTCCTCTCTTGCCTTTGAAAAGTTTACCGTACTAGCTGTCTATCTTATATTACTGTCATAGCTCAGACTGCCCTAACAAAATAATGTAGGACTGGGTGGTTTAAACAACACAAGTTTATTTCCTCACAGTTCTGGTTGTTAGAAGTTCAAGATCAAGGTGTCAGCATGGTCTGTTTCTGGTGACTACTTTCTTTCTGGCTTGTAAACAGCCACCTTCACTCGGGGGTGTTGTGGACAGGATGGTTGGAGGAGCTCTATATTACATTTGCATGTGTATTATTAAAAGAAGTGGTGAATCACATATGGAAATACAGAAAACTGCAATAGTAAATAAAATTAAACTTATAATTGGGTTGTACTGAAGTTTACCTAATTTTAATAGAAACAGTTATTTTTATTACATGCTATACAAATTTGATGGTATAAGCAATGTTTTTCTTATTTGTCTGAATTTCTTCATTGCAAAATGCTAAAACTATACATAATCTTTTAAAAACAAGTAAGATGGCTGGGTGCTGCAGCTCATGCCTGTAATTCCAGCACTTTGGGAGGCCAAGGTGGGCGGGTCACCTGAGGCTGGCAGTTCAAGACTAGCCTGAACAACATGGAGAAACCTCGTCTCTACTAAAAATACAAAATTAGCCAGGCATGGTGGCGCATGCCTGTATTCTCAGCTATTCAGGAGGCTGAGGCAGGAAAATTGCTTGAATCTGGGAGGTGGAGGTTGTGGTGAGCCGAGATCACGCCATTGCATTCCAGCCTGGGCAACAAGAGCAAAACTCCGTCTCAAACAAAACAAAACAAAACAAAACAAAACAAAACACAATTAAGAACATTTCCTTAATGACTATGAAGTGAATACACAGCATATTTCAAATTTTCAAGTAGAAGGGTAGAGGAATGTAGGACAAAAGGCGACTGAGATCCAGAGTTTAGGTGACTTGGCAAAGTCATCCGATTAGCAGGTTATAGAATTATATATGAAACGCAAGATTTTCTTATCCCAAAATGCTGAAGATTGGTATATTCAAGATGAAGGGGAATAAAACCTAATTATACTCTAGATCACTTCATACCAGAAAACAGCTATAGAAACTAGGTTTTCACTTTCAAAACTCAATTAAGTGTGTGTATGGTCCGTTGGTGTCTAGCTTTAACACCTGCCTATTCCCATAAGTGCCATGTTCCACTATAACCCCAGCTTCAGCACACTTGCTATTAGCAGCTACTTCTTTTTCACACAGAGTAACAAATTGAGAGTAAAGTTCAAACCCTTCTTCTTTTCCAGAGTTAGAGTGATATTGCATGTTTCTTCCTTTTAGTCTTCCTCCAAGGGTAGCTTGAGGGATAATAAGAATGTTGCCAGGTAGATCCAATATAGAGACTTGTTTGCCATTTTCTGTTTCACTTAATTTCACATTTAACAGTGTATTAACTGGGTGAGGAAGAAAGGCAAAACATTTTAAAGTGAAAAAGATGAAGAAAACCATCAAGTTTTTAATTAGTCAGCAAACTTCATGTTTAAAATTCAGTTTGTCAGCTCATGCTTCTAACCCAAAGTCTCTAGATTTGAAATACTGCTTCACTAAGCTAAATAATCTAAGCATGAAAAATAAGGCAACTTTCATGCAGAAAATGGTATGATATTTTAAATCTGATTTGGCAGTTAAGATCACCTAACAATAAATTCATCCAGAAAGGTCTAAAAATTAACTTTACACTGGAACCTCGAATATTGTTCTCCTGGGGGAATACATGAGAATACTTTACCTTCCTGTTCCTTTTACTTCATAAGTAAATTCCACAGAAAAAGAGGAGGATAAATCCTCCTCACACCAAATTGTGCTTTATAGTGGGATATCAAATAAAAATTTTAGTGCAGTTATTATTTTAAACTTAGCTGCCAAGACTTTTAAGCAGAGACAAAGGTTCCTGGTTCAATCCCATTATAAACCACTTAATTTTGTTGTTTAATAACCTTAAAGGCAATATTAACATGGCTAATCATTTTATAAATATATGGACTAATCATTTTATAAATATAACCCATGAGAGAAGGGTAAAGGTGAAAGCAGGAATCATCAGAAATTCATTGGTACAACTGAAAAAGTAAATAAGATATAAAGCTACCTATACTATCTTCATATACATATAAAAATGTGATATTATTTTTATAGCATTTATGATATTTCTTATAGTTAATAAAAAGTGTTGAAACCACCGTTAAGTATCCATGTATAGCTAAAAGCCTAAACTTAGAAAACCTTTATAACTTAACATTAACCATTTTCAAAACAGTAAGCAAAAGAAGTGTCTAATATAAAAAGACTTAAGGTCTTCCTACCTCTATAAAGGTATAAATGACTCCTGTTTGCAAAGAATAATCCTGAGAGGACAAATGGTTGAAGGAACTATACAAACCTCAAGACAACTGCCCTCAAATTAAATTAAAAGGCATGCTTTCTGTTGGGGTAGTTAATGGTTTTAATTAATAGAGAGTCTGTAGTAAATATTCACGTGGTTGCCCCTCTCTACAAATCATGGAATTAACTGGTAAATATCTGCCAACGTGAACTCTCAAATGAATTCCTAAGCTAGGCATTAAGCATCATCAATTTTCACTTAACTAACATTTATTTTTAAATACTTCTAGTTTTTCTCTATTACAAATAGGACTTTGCTGTTTAGCCAGTAGTCTTTACTGATTGCCTGTAAGGAAACTTAACTCTCCAGGGCACTACATTCCACTGGAAATCACTATCTAGCTCTCTAGACTTCAGGCTAGTGACAGAGTAAGTACTGTAGGCAATTTTGGAATAACAGGCTTGAGAGGTAATGCTACAATATATTATATTTCCACGTACCTCCCTCTACTGGCTATAAATGAGAATTCAGTTAATGCTGTTGGTATACAAATATCAGTATGTACATAAATACAATGTAGAACCAGTAAGTAGAATTAAAACGAGTAAAACGAGACAATGAATCAATGGCATGTTGGAAACTCAAATATCCTAAAACAGGTTATCAATCAAGTATCTCTAATGATGTATATGGAATGTTAAGCTTTATCAGGTCTCTGGCCCTCAGTCCAATTATATTGAAGATGAACTGAGGAAGATTCTACACATCTCTATGTTAGCTGTGCTATTTTGGATTTTACAGATATAACTGATTATTATATTCTCAAGGGATATATGCTTTGATTGGAAATATCTGAATCTATGTAATAAATATGAGGTGAAATTTAAGAGAATCCCATCACATTGACTTACTTAGCCTACTGGAATAGAGGGAAGTACAAGCTAATGCTTTCAATAATAGATGCACTTATTTTGCTTACAACTCAAATGAACAGAACGTGATTCTTAGAGTCATATATTTCTTTACTGAGAATCGTGATATAAAAAATCACGTTAGAAGGCCGGGCGCGGTGGCTCAAGCCTGTAATCCCAGCACTGTGGGAGGCCGAGGCGGGTGGATCACGAGGTCAAGAGATCGAGACCATCCTGGTCAACATGGTGAAACCCCGTCTCTACTAA